TTGTTCTCTCTCTCTCTCATTTAGTAGTCAAATTAGTACTTTGTTGTTATATGCTCAAATAATCTAATTTATGAAAGAGTAGCTGGAGGCATTTTCAAATTTAAGAAAAAGAGTAGCTGGAGGCATTTTCAAATTTAAAAAAAAGAGTAGCTGGAGGCATTTTCAAATTTAAGAAAAAGAGTAGCTGGAGGCATTTTCAAATTTCCTTCAGTGAAGCTTAATATTTTTCAGTCATCAAAGCCGTTTTATTCCAAATGGAAGCAAATATTTTATCAAAGAAAAAAACAAGGTGATACACAATGGATACCTTTTTATTTTTGATGCAACAAGCGAGAGGAATCCTGAATTAAAGTCATAATAAAAGTCGAATCATTAGATCCTATGGAGTTCCTGAAGAGTGTTGCTCATAATTACGAAATGAAGAAGTAATTTCTAAGATTAAATAGCTTTAGTAAGTTTTTCAATTTTTTTTACAATATTTTTAATTTAAGTTTTTAATTTACATTATTCCATTAGTGTTTTTAATAGGATCCCTAATTGCCTAAATGAATAAAAAGTCATATTGAAAGGTGGGTGTTTTCAATGCTTTTATCCTTTTGGGGGGGGGTGTCTCCAGTCAAAGACGGTGACGTTGAAACAGTCTGATGCCTGAATAGTCCAATTATTTTTTTCATGCCAAATCAGCAACACCAAATTGGCTATGCTGAAATGTACTAAACTCCTTTCCCAAGGTGACGTGAATGCAACACTCAAGGCTGGAATCTGAACTGCCTACATATTTTGCACCAACAACTGCATGTTCCCACTCCTTTGTGCTATACCCTTTCAGAACATGGACAATAGTTTTCCACAACTTGTCTTTTATTTCTTTGCATAATTCTTGATCCTTTGCAACCCCATTTTGTCTTTGTGGTCCTTGTTCTGACATCTGCTTACTTAAGTTCATCAAGTAGGTAATTCACTGTTTTTCTTGTTTCTCTTGCCTGCAATGTACCTTGTGAGTGTTAAGTTCTCCAAGCAATCTTTTTTCACAGTGTCCCCCAAAATTTCAGGGATAAGTGTTAGAAGCAGTTTCTTTGTCGTGCCTCTTCTTCTCAGAACTTCCTTTGCTTCTCACATGCTCTATGTTATTCTCAACATCTGTCAGGAGAACCAAATCTTTGTTTTTGTAAAGTCTTTTCTTCATTCTTAAGGAAATGGTCTAGCATCCACTGGCATATAGGAAATCAGTCATTATATAGCAGTTTAGCACACTTTTCTTTATTTGTTTTTGTTTGGGGTGGGGCTTTAGAAAATGGAAGATGTGACACTGAAATCCAAATACGCACCAGTTTAGCAAAAGATGCCTTACAAAAGCTAAACAAAGTACTAAGAAACAGGAAAATTTTGTTAGAAACAAAAGAAGAGTGCTGAATTGATATGCGATATCAACCCTCTTATATGGCAGTGAATGCTGGACAACCTTTCAAAGATGAGGAGAAAACTGGAGGCAAAAGAAATGTTGTTCTACAGAAGGATACTGAGAATTCCATGGATGAATCAAGTAAACAACAAGGAAGTCTTAAAGAAGATGGTAACAAAAAGAACGCATGTGCTCAGAATCAGAAAGAAGTAGATGAAATTTCTTGGGCACATAATGAGGAAGGAAGGCTTAGAAAACTTAACACTCACAGGGTATACTGAGGACATGAGAGACAGCAAAAAGCAGCAGGCCACCTACTTGACAAACTTATGGATGGTGGAACAGGGGGAGGGATTTGTCAAAAGAAGATACATTGCTAAGGACTATGAGGGATAGGAAGTTGTGGAGAACCATGATTACCCACTTCCTGAAGTGACATAGAAGGATACCTTGATAAGTACCTTTCACTATTCTTATATACCTTCAGATTTTTATATGTTCTGTTGTCTATTACTATACTAATAATACAGTTAAATTTCTACATCATTTAATTTTCACATTCCCAATATGTAACTTACACTTTTTGTTGTCCCTTTTGCTAACAACCATAATAATCCTTTCTTTTGCTATTACATAATATTACTAATTAATATTACATATTATTTGAATATCTTTTCCATGTGGATCAAGCAATCCCCCTTTCTCTTTGATAAAAAGTAAGTCACAAATCCATTTCTTCTCGTCCTAGCCATAGAGTAAATAGCAGGGTAGACTAGATTCTATAGCTCTGACTGGTAGCCAGTCTAGAAGAAGGGCTACTTTGAGTTTGAAACATGGCAGAAAATGGGAATTTATTTTACTCTACTATCCTTCCCAAGAAGTCATGGCAATTCACAGATAACAAAGAAAAGGAATCTGTGGAGAGTCACAATCGTCTATGTATTGAAGAGATATGAACTTAAAAGGAGAAAAAAAAAAGAAAAATGCTATATTGTGGCTCGATAATCCAAGAGAATTAAAAGGAAAAGAAACAAAAGAGATATGAGAAGAGATGAATTTGTTTTGTTTTTTTGGGGGTTTTTTTCAGTTACCATCACACTCCACAGTCACACTGTTTCGACCAAGTGATCCTCTCCAGTAAAAGTACCTAGCAATTATTAAGTACACATGAGCGATCTAAGATTAGCGATCAGAAAGTCGTGGTACAATCAACTTGTTGAGGTTTGGGGGGGGGTGTCTGTGAGATATTACCGATCATTAGAACAAAAATAAACTAACATTTAAGTTGAAATTGGCTACCTCTCTCTTATGATCTCTATATCTGATGTTATACGAAACCAACGTTTTTAAGACGGGGTGGAAGGATTCAACCTTTTTCTTAAAAATTATTTAATTTATCCTTTTTTGTAGGAAAATAAAAATGTGGAAATTAGATAAAGAAAAAAATCTAAAAAATAAAAAAAAAAAATCACAATCGGTCGTCATTGTTTCAATGCCAAAAAACGCACTTTTAAAAAAACAACCAACATTAGTGAAATAAAAAAAATTCTAGTTAGAGAGCCTATTGATTTTATTACTTTTAAAAAATTATTAAGTAAATACACAAGTGCATAAAATATCGTTTAGAAACACGATTAAGTTATTTAATTTTCTGTGAGTAATGAATGAGTAAACTAACAGAAACTACTAAACAATAATATTTTAGCATCATAAAAACAAAGATATGGTATTTTGCGCTCAGTTAGACCTTAAATCCAAATGTTTTAGTTTTCATAAGGTAACTGGTAACAAAAAGAATTTTTTTTTCTTATTAGCGAAATTAAACACATAAAAAAAATATAATATTGTAATTTATAAAATAAAAAATACAATAATTAAGGAGTAAATTTTAAAAATTTTATTTAGTTTCCTAATAAAAACTATATATTTTGTAGGTGTATGCGGTGAATTTCTCTAATTATTTCCAAAGATTCGCTAAAAATGAGCATACATGATGAAAACATGCCCAAAACTTATTAAAAATAAAGTTTTATAAATTGTCAAAATATTTGTTATTATTTTAAGAGGAAAGACCAAAGTATTTTTTTTATTATTTTTTTTAAAAAGTCCTTCAAAATTTTGGTTAAAATTTTATTTTTCTTGCTTCAGCCTAATTAGAAGTTTTTTTTAGCATCTTTTTTTGCGGTGAAAATACAGATCTGGAAATTCATGCAAAAATCACATAATTGTCGGATTTTTATAAAATTTTCAGGACTTATTCACAAATGAATTAAAAATTATTTTTGAAACATTTTCTTTTTTATTTTTTTTTAGAAAATCTTCACCACCCGCAAATTATTTAATTTTATTAAATTCTGAGAAATTGTTTTTTTGTATCGCTAAATAAATGAGTTTTTTTTTTCTTATAACATTACAATATTTTTTCCATGTGTACGTCTTTTTATTAAGTTATATTTTTTTTTTATCTTGACAGCTGTCATCACAGTGTAAAAACTGTAACGTTTTAAAATGAATGTTTATATATTTCAAGCAAAAATCATTTTTGTGCTTGAACATAAATTATTGTTTTACTTTTTTTGTTTTCCGTTGGTACGATTCATCAAATGAGGTGTTAAAAAAGAAAATTATTAAAATAATTCGGTTACATAAAGCTAAAAATTTTGTTATAGATCTACAGGTGTTACGAAAGGTGTACTAAAGTGGAAAAAAATATCGGTGTGATGTTTCGTTTCATTTAGACATAAAAAAAAAAACAAAAAAAAAAAACAGCGATGGTGTATAAAAAATAAAAATAAACAAGTTATAGTAAAAAAAATAATGTGCCCAGAGAATTTGAAAGTGATTTTTTAATTCATTGACTTAAAAAAAAAAAAAAAAAAAAAGTAAAAAGTATGCCGATTTTTGTTTCTCTCGTTCTCTCATAATCTTTTATTTTTTTAAATATTTTGTTTTTGTTAGAAATTTAGCCCTTTGAGTAATGAATAAAAAAAAAATGATAAAAAGTAGGTAATATTTGACTTGAAGAAAAAGAGATGATAAAAGGCCAGGGAGTTCTTTCTTCAATCAATCTAAGTGCCGGGTTAGATAGGCTCTTGAATTTTAACAAATTACTGAATAAACGAACTAATGTTGTTATTTAGCACATAAAAATGTCATTTTTTTAAGGTGCAAAGCAAATTTGACTAAGAGATAAAAGAGAGAAGAAAACATGGGGTAAAAAATATATCTTGCTAATCTTTCAGATTTTATATTGTTAAGAGAGAAGAATTATAAAACCCGGAGATTTCGTTGTTTAATTTTATTTTTAAGTGTCGGGTTAAAAAGGCCCTTTTTTCACAGCAAAGGAAGAAGGTGGACTTCTTTCAAATTAAGAAAAAAAAAATGGAACAATCACTTTTTGGTAAAATACATACTGTCACGAAAATAAACATGCAAACACGTTGTGGAAAAGAAAGAAAAATCATGAAATTAATTAATTTAAGTCTATAGAGAAAAACTAATTGCGGAAGGGAAAAAACACGTTTGAATTAAGTACGACATATTTTGTATTTACAACATGTGTGTGTATGTATTCATGCATACAAGAGTTATTACTTACACTGAATCCGATTATCATAATGATAACGAATACGACCAGAAAGACGACAAGAAAATATCTTAATAGACATTGTCGAGCGATCAACACAAACATCGCAACTCGACTCCAGACTTCTTTCTCTCTCGAACGCTACTTTGACAAACGGAAGTCACTTTCTTTAACTCTACACGGTGTTATCCTCCTCACGCCCCTAATTAATTATCATCCCTCACACCTGTAATAATAACAAACATCAACCGTTCGGCGGCGTTACCTATTATTTGGAGAATTATATGTTGACTTTAGAGTCACCGATTTTTAAAAGGGTTGAAATAACTGCTTTTAATGCTGTAGTATTTTTAATAAGTGAAAATTGTTCTTTTTAATTTTATTAACATAACACTGTTAAGTTAATAAAATTAATTAACAGTCTCCCTTTTTAATTTTTATCGTTAGGAGATCAGTTTTTGTTTTATTTTTCAAGTTGTCGATCGGGTTGCTCGGTTTTGGAATGGGAAAATTTTCATTTCATTTTTTCATAAAAGAAAATTTGTTTCGAGAAAATATCAACTGAATTGTAAAAAAAAAAAACAAAAAAAAAACGAATTATTCTAAGTGAAATGAAGTACTATAATGTAATGACAACGAGATAATGAATTTTTACTCAACTGTTTTTACCCCAAGTTTACTGAATGTGTACTGTAAATGAAAAAAGAAAAAAAAAACGAGCTGGTAGAAACGTCGTGGTGAAAACCTAAGTCGGAATAATTTACGGAAGTATTAGGATTTAGATGTTCACCGATTTAGAAGTTTTTTTTAGGATTAAAAAATCAAACCCGTGAATACCTAAAATGAAAAAAGATGATTAATATGAAAAATTAAATCAAGTTCTTGACAATAAACAAATTTACAAAATAGTCCACCTTGGCTGAACAGTGAATCTGTGAGTTTGTTATTTATTTATTTAAGACAAGACTCAGACTGTTTCTCTCTCTATTTGGCTTTTCTGGAGTTTTACTCACGTATGTGGAGAGCCTTAAAAACAGACGAATTATCTCTCGTCACATCAATCTGCAAACTTGAGGTGAAGGCTTCTTTCTACTGTGAGAGAAACTGCCTCCCCACGGCCAGGTGATGTACAGATTTCATGTATAGATTTTTTTCCCCGACACGTGGGGAAGTTCTAGTTGATATTCATTTATTCACCAACCTTAATCGAAGGTAGATTGTCCCCTAAGCTATTCGAAGCAACATCAGATCTGTATCTCACGTGATCGGCATAAAAAAGATGTTTTCCCTGGAGACTGGGTAAAGAGAGAACGTCATCTCTAAAAAAAACTCTTATCCCGAATATTAAAAAGTCACTGCAAAAACAAACAAGACTCGAAACTACTAAAAGTGAAATTTGAAAGTAAAAACAATATAACAAAATACAAGTTTTACAAAAAAGCTTGCACAAAAATTTCGAAACAGTCCGACTTTATCGTATAGTGGCGTGGGGTTTACGGGTTAAAAAATGAACAGTTAATTTACCCTCTTGAAGAAGATTAATGAAGAGTGATAATGACGTGGAAATACAGATAATTTTGCAAAACAAGATAAGGAATTTATTCACGAATTTACACACTTGAAGTAGTGTCAGTAGCTCGTTTCAAGAAAATAAATAAGAATTATTAAAATCCGTAGTTTTAACGAATTGTCATGAAAAGGAAATGTTCATACAACAGATGAACTGATCTGACACAAAATAATATTAAAAATGGCAACGGTAAGATAATTCGTTGTTGATCGAAGGGATATATGGTTTGCATACTTTCAAAAGTAGACGAAGTGAGATAGTTTGAAATACTTAGCTTTCTTGGATTATTGAAAGAAAATTCTTAGAGGCCGAAGATATAATTGACGAGTAATTTTAAACTGGCGAGTACTTCAACGCTGGTCGCGAGGAATTGAAACGAAACTTTTCGCATGACTTCAGATACTCTTCTCTTATTAATTTTTCTCCTCATTTCGCATAGGCTCGATACTTTCTTTTCTTCTTCTTCTTGGCTAATTTCTGTGAAGGCAAGGTTTTCATCGACCCCAAAACGATTTCACATAGGATCGCAAATTCTCTTCCTTCTTCTCAGCGCACCGGTCAATTTCTGTGAAGACAAGGTTTTCATTGGCCCAAAGAAAAATTCACATAGGCTCACGAATTCATTTCCGTCTTCTTCCTCTGTCCTCCAAATTTGAATGGTGTACGTGAAAGGAGTTATTATTTTTTCGCACTCGCTACAATCGAATTATTTTCTTTTAGAGCCAATTCTAAATTTAGTAACTTACAGACAAATGTAATACATTTGTAACAAAAGCTTTTTTTTTTTTAAATACACTTAAACTTAAAACACGAAAAAGCTTTCTTTTAAATACACTTTAAAGTTAAATACACGAAAGTAAGTGTAAAAAGACAAACCTAGACTATTATATTCAGGGCCGGGTCATACTACACTCGACCAGGGGTAAGCCTGATTGCGGGTCCCAGTAGAGCTTTGTGACCCTCGCTATCTTACCAATATATTCTTTTATTTCTATTTCTATTTATATAAGTTAGAAATTAAACTAAACATAACTGACTATAAAAAGGTGAAAAGATTTTCGCGGAATTCGACATCATTCTGGAGTCTTTTTTTTTTTTTCGTCCAAATTCGTGAATTTGTTTTGTTCATGCTAAGTCTAGAAAAAACACTATGTAAAATTCACGATTTTTTATCCATAATGTTGAAAGTGTAAAAAATTATTCAACTTTTTAACAAAAAAATCTAAACTTAATGTTAAAAAACGTTGTTGATTTATTTAAAATGGAATTATCTATTATGACATGTCTCTAATTTGTATTCAGATACATTGTATTTATTTTCAATTTTTCTAGTTGAATTGTTCACCTATATTGCATATGATCCATTATTGTGCATAAATACGTTACAATAGAATTTGTATTTTATATGAATACTACCTAATGAAAATTGCGATGTATTAGAATAGGGAATTGGAGAGGCATATCAGAGATTCGGTGGGGGCACGATACCCTTGCATCGTCCCTGATTATATTTATTTATTTATAATTATCTACACGTTTTATTAACCATTATTTTTAATTATTTTGTATTACTAATTAACTTTTTGTATAACATTGCGTTTCACAACGCAACCATCATATAGTCCTATCACATACGTAACAGTGTTGAAGCCCCTTAAAATTCATGGCTTTTGGCGCAGACTGTTTTTTTTTACATTCAAAATGAATGGATGCTAAGCCAACATTGTTTTGTAAGGTTTATTTTCTTTTGTATATAAATACAAACTTGTATGCTTCTTGTGAGACAAAATCCGTAGCTCGCGATACATTGAGAGAGAGAGAGAGAGAGAGAGAGAGAGAGAGAGAGAGAGAGACCCTTCCTTCTTTGAAGAGGGCGGTCGTCTTGATTAGTTCGTAAGAGGAGTGGACAGTGGCGTGGTGAGATTTGGTGATGCTGGGGCCAATCCCTTGGTTGTATGCCCCTAAGTCTCAAGTTTCTTAGGGTCGAGTACTGAGCAATGTGAGAAAGGAATACATTTTATGTAAAAACAGGTGAAACATGAAACACTTTATTCAAATTTTAAAAACTAAATTTTTATTTCACTCTTTGATTGGATGTCCTCTCTATATGGAAGCCCGGGACCATCTCACCCTCTTCCCCCTCTTCTGCACACTACTGGGTGTGAACCAACCTTTCCCGCTTTATGTTATCCCTAACATTTTTGTCGAGATTTACAAACTTCACGTTTCACAAACCAATCGATGAAAATTTGAATAAGCTGAATTGTTTAGAAAAATACTTTGACAAAAACTCTACTTCGCGTTTTTTACGCACCCTAGTAAAACCTACTGTACTTTGTACCCCTTTACCTGTTCGCGCTAATCCCCAAAATTTGGTTTCGCTGCGTCAATGTAAGGCTATTTTAGAGGGTGTGACGGACAGACGGACGGACGGACGGACGGACGGACTAACAGAAGTCACAGAAATTTATATATAGATAGTTTATTTTATACGACTCGGACAATCTTTCTCTTCTTGGCTGCTACATTCATAGCGTCTCGAAGATGATTAATTCATTGCACATGACCTAAAAAATAAGCCAAACAAATACGATTGCATATGAACTCTGACACAACACATTTACATCTTGTAACACCGTATCCCCACCCCCACTGGACCCACGCACTCCACAAAACCGTCTATTGTTCCGGTATGGTTCAGTATTACAGGTTAGACACAAGTCTCCGGTTCCAAATGTAAATTCGAAGCCACCCTCCAGCTACGTTGTGATTGTTTTGATCCTGGAGAGTGGTCATCAAATCGTAGAAATCCGGAAGCTCTTCGTTGGCCCACCTGCGAGTTCGTCGGAGAGAATCATAATAAAAGAAAAATAAAGTCGATTCGATTTTTAAAGGACTAAAGTTTTTTATATATATATATATATATATATATATATATATATATATATTCTTGTTTTAAAAATAAATTCTAGATCAAAACATCCTTAGTTTTAACCTCGATTCTTATAGTGTCAAAATCCATATCTTTTTTGTTTTTAAAGTTCCAAATTATTATTGATCCAGTAATTTTCTATTAGTAATCTGATATCCTTTGTACACTCACAAAAAGATTGCATTTCGTGTTCTAAATTAACTTTCTTTAACATTTACATTTCAAAGTCCTTACAGCATATTAACATCTTGGTTATTCGAAAACGCCTCTCTTTCACTTGGTATTTTCTGTTTTACAGCATATCCTCTTTTATTATCATTATTATTATTTCAGGGGTGATATCGCCCCTGCCATAATTTGATCATTGACAAAGTGTAGTTGAATGGAAATGAATGCAGTGGAACCCTGAAAATATGAATAATTACGATTATAATTAAGCATTCGCAACTAAATCCACTCTTGGCACTAAATGACTAATAATAGATTGATATGCCGTTAAAGAAACCAAACGATGTATCATGTGCCAAAATTAAGATTGTCTAATAAATAACAGACTCAACTTGTGCAAATATGATGTTCAAATGATAATGTATCTACCTAAATTGTCATGGGTGGGTCTTGTGAAGTCATCAAATCTTTCAGTTTGTTTTAATAAAAACTGTCAAAACAGGAATATCTCTCTGCCATCCCACTGGCATTTTTTTCAACTATAAAAACTGAACTTATCTCTACTTTCGATCACGCGAAGAACAAGTAAGGACGTCATTTCATAAAATACATTTATTGGATGCTTCGGTACACATCATCAGTGATGTTTCCAGTCGTGGTTCATTAGGGGTTTCAGGTCTTTCAAACTCATACCCCATCTCCACAGTGATCCAGCCGATAGTGACCGGGTATCGATCTGTGAGCTACAATTTTTTCCATCCTTCCGACTACACACTGCGACTCCTCTTGGCAATTTATGATCCAATCCCCGATAATTTCTGGTTCACTGTTTTCCATAAAAAAAGGAAGCAAACGCAACCACAGATTCTATCTGGCAAGAAACATGGTGGAATGCTTGGCTTGAAGTGGTAATTAACGATTTGTTTACCTCACTGAGAGATATACACATACATGTACACACCCGAAAACGCGCTCAAGAATCACGTTTTGCTTACACTTATCCCATTTCCGTTCATGTCAATCATCCGCCCAAAGGAAAAAGTATATAAATGTTTTGTTTCTTAACCTCAGTTCAAAAATTCAACCATTTGGTTAAAAAGTGACTAATAGTCGTCATTCCTCCAAATTATAAAAGAATATAGAGATTGAACGGAGCGAAAGGACATAAGCGGTAATGACTCTCCACAACTTTCTGCCTCGTGCAACTCTTAGCAGTTTTTCACGCTTTGCTAAGGCTCCAGCCTGTGCATCGATCTCCATTCATACAATCTCATCAGGTAAGTGGCTAGTTCCCTTCCCCTGTCTTTATTATCTTCAATATGCCCAGTGAGGATTAAGTTTTCCAAGCCCTCCTTCCTCGTTGTGCGTCCAATGGATTTCATCTGTCTTTTTCTGATTTTGAGTAATAGTGTTTTTTCTGTTGCCATTTTTCTTTCAGACTTCATCGTTTTTTACTCGTACGATCACTGAAGTTAAGAAACGTCGAACTCGGTCAGTACCTAGGTGGGTGACAGCTTGGGAATACCAGAAGCTGTAAGCGTGGATGTGCGGTTGGGGAAGTTGGAAATCAGAGAGCAGAGTTCCAATTCCAGTTTAGTTTACATACGCGCGAATACACTTGGGAAAGTATAAGTCCATCTCTTCTCCTCCAGCTATGAGTTAATTAGTAGAAATTGTATTAGTAAATCATTATTATCTCCCAGAATTCTTTCAAACTAAAAATATTTTATGGCTTTAAATAGCCTGTTAAAGGTTGATGAGCCGTAAAAAACAAATAAAAATCTGATGAAGAAAAAAGATGAACTGTCCATTCAAAATATTTATATATACGGCATTACACTAAAATCCTACCTGCGACAAATTTGGAAGACATTTGATAACTTGGTGTATTTGTCTCGACATAACTTAATTCTTGCTGATTGAAGAATAAGTAATTATTCTCCTCCCACGATACCTTATTTCAACAGAATATATTTCTGACGAGGCAGACATTACATACCACAGATTTAATATAAAATACTGTCTGTTGAATATATAAATGATTCTTCTCCTATGTGTCGTGTTCCTTCTCGGTCTTGATCTTAACTATTGTTTTTTAATTCTTGACCTTTTCTGTCTGTATCCACCTTTGATTCTTGATCTTTATTTATTCTTTTTAATTCTTGATCTTTTCTCTCTCTATTCTTCTTTGGTTCTTGATACTGACTCTCTCTATTCTTCTTTGGTTCTTGATACTGACTCTCTCTACTCTTCTTTGGTTCTTGATACTGACTCTCTCTATTCTTCTTTGTTTCTTGATACTGACTCTCTCTACTCTTCTTTGGTTCTTGATACTGACTCTCTCTATTCTTCTTTGGTTCTTGATACTGACTCTCTCTATTCTTCTTTGTTTCTTGATACTGACTCTCTCTATTCTTTTTTGAGTCTTGATCTTTACTCTTTCTATTCTTCTTTAATTCTTGATCTTTTCTCTCACTATTCTTCTTTGAGTCTTGATCTTTATTCTGAAGTGCATTAAAACGGTGTGCTTCCATAGGGTCTTTATAGTCTGCACCTTCTTCCAAGTTTTTTTTTGTTTTTTTTTTTAAGTTGAGTCATATACGTGACTTAAATGATTCTTGTCTCTTGGGTATCTTTTGGGGTCACTGATTGAAGGTCTTTGTGATTTGTTTGCAGGGATTCGATTTGGTAGATAATTTTGAGTGTCGTGGGAGTTGAAGTTATTGTCTGAGATGTTGATGACTTTTTTCACTATTTGTTTTTAATAGTTGGTGGTCTTTGTTTTTTATGGCTGTAGTTCATTTTTGTGCAATATTCGAGTACATCTTTCTGGTTTGAATTTCTATCTTTTTCGTACCTTTAGAAATAGTGTGCTTCTTCCGTATTTCACCTCCATAATTTTTTTCTTCAAAATCTCGCTTGTTTCTAAGTATGACGGGCGATCTTCTTGATAGAGGGTTCAATTGCTGCATTGTTTTCTCCATCTGAGTAGCAATGGCATTCCTGTCCACATCCTTTACAAGTTGATTTTATCATATATTTTGCCACATGATGCCCTTATTTTTAAGATATTTATTTATGCATTAAATGACAATTGAAAAAAAAACGTCGATGAAAGTATAATATTTTGAAAAAAAATATCCGATTATGGATTTCGCCCATTTTGGGCTTTATCAGATCAAAATGAGAGGAATGCATTTTCGGATATTTTTCCGAAACATTATACTTCCATAAACTTTTTTTTCCAATTGCCATTTAACGTATAACTCTGTTTGGATCATTCACTCAAATTCTTAATATATTGTCGGCATGGAGAACACATGGATAAAAAAAACCTATCTTTCATTTATTTTTTACCTATTCTCATGGATTTGTCTCTCTAAACACTGACACTTAAAACAAAGAACATAAAATGTTAAACGACTTTTTTAAATAAGTCACTCATTTTCTATCTTTCCCATTCACAGATTGGGAAAAATATATGATCTCATTATTTTAAATAAACACACAAATACATACACATGCAATTCACTTTTTTAGTCTTCAAGCTGATAATGCCCGAAATGGTCGAAATGCATTATCAGATATTTTTTCGAAACATTATACTTTCATGAACGTTTTTTTTCCACACTTGCCAAAGCCGAAAAGCGTCTTCAGTCTAGAAATTGCCGTTTCCAACTTGTGCACACATCCGCTCGCAAATTGATGCGTAACGTGTGTTGATGATTCTCAACACTAGGTATACTTATACTCCCCATCATATAGCAATGTATAGAATATAGTCCTTCGTAATCGGTTTGGTTTGGCATATCAACTTCTTATGGGTCATTTAATAGCGAAATTTAATTTGCTTGGGTGGTTTGGTATTTTTTTTATTTCAAAAATGTATTGCTGCTATTTTTTTTTTTTTTATTGCTGATATGTTTTTTTTTTTTTACTATAAAAATGTATTTTTATATTTTTCATAACATTTAACCCCAGTTTGGGGGTTCACTATTTTCTCATAGCTTTGACTCTAACAGTTGCGATCACCCCTGGTCAGGGTGGACCTGGGAACAACGGCAAGAGATGGTTCCACGTTCCTCAAAACCTCCCGATCAGAGCTCTTGCTGCCGGATTTAGTTTATCGTCATACCCAGGACGGCTTCGTAGTGGGGTATTTCACTGTAATATCTTCAGTGGGTAAGAGCACGTGCAACAACCGCTAAATTAGGTAAAATATGCACAAGAAATCGCCAACGTAGTTCAATTTTACATGCTGTCACCCCCATATCCATTCATAAAAGTAAGAGTTTCGTTTAAGGACCAAATGAGTGCTGCAATTCACATATCATCTCAATCTTCATAGATACATCCACCATTATTGCGTCGAAAACAGGTTTTTTTAGGGATACAATTGGTGCCTTCTCGGTCCCGGTCCCGCCGTCGTAAGACGAAAGAGCTCTGTATAAATTAAGAAACTTCTCAGACTGAAAAGTTTATATATATATATATATATATATATATATATATATATATATATTGTATCATTTTATGTTTGTGACGAAAAAAAATTCATACATGTTTCATTAAAAATTTAATGCTGTCTATTTATTTTTGAAAATTCATAATAACTTTCAAATAAAATAACTATCATTAAACGAAGAAAGCTTAGACTGGATTAAAAAATATGTATCAATATTGTGATTTTCTTTCTTCGTTTAATGATAATGTTATTAAGCTTATCAGACGTTATGAAAAGAATTTACATAAAATAAATAGACAACACTTGTTTATATTATTTAATGAAATATGTATGAATATATATATATATATATATATATATATATATATATATATATATATATATATATATTATAATAAAAAGAAAGAACAGTAAGATATATAATCTGGTGTTCTTATTGATATTTTTATTTTTACAAAACAGTGCTCAATGTAAATTTACAGAACAGAAATATTTCTGGCACTTAAAAGAAACCAATAAAACAACTACAGTAAAATGGAAATTAATAAGAAAAGCTAGAATATGTAGGTCATTAAATGACCCATGTCCTTTGTGCATACATGAGAAACTATATATTACTAAGTTTATAAAAATAAAAATTTACTGAATCAAAGAAATGAAATAGATATTCTTTGATGACATTGTCAAAAACTTTTCTTAAAGAATATTTAAAAATAAAATAAAAATAAAAAAATGGGAGCAAGTAATATACATACTTATATTTGATATGTAATTTTAGAAAGAATCTTTAGGTATGCAAGTACGAATTTAACGGAAAAAATACCGAAAAACTTTTTGTCGTTAATAAAAAAAACAGACGACATGCGTTGAACGGATGTCAAAAATTCGTTGAAAAATGCACCCCCTACCCTCCCTATATTAACCTCTTTTTCGAACGTAACTCATAATTGATACAACAATAGTTAATAAAAATGAACACGCTACCGCCCTTGTCTAAATGATTGAATTTCTCTGTATCCTTGGAAACAAAAAATTATGAATTGTATGTGCGTTTAAAACTCAGTAAATTTAAAAATAAGTTATTCCAAAATTCGCTTGAAGATCAAACAGAACTAATGCCTTTAATTTAATTATATAATTAAATTTGAATTTTTTAGCTTCTTATTTTTTTGGTAATTCATGTGTATTCCTGTGAAACCGAAGAAAATCATAATATATATATATATATATATATATATATATATATATATATATATATATATATATATAGGATAAATAAATCAAGGATAAGATATAAGCTGGTTTATAAATGTTCTGTGTAAATTTGCGGGCAAGCAGATAGATAATCATCAAATTTATTCATGAGGTGTAAATATAATAGTTTATGATGTGGTTAGACAGAGCAAAGATATTTATTTAGTACATATATAGAATTATAATTTGGTGTGCGACTAAAGTTTAAATGAATTAAAGCTCATCAATTTGCTTCTATATTGATAAAAGTAAAAAAAAAACAATTATGGAGGAACAATTTGCTACGTAGCCCCAAAAATAAAATTGGACAAAAAGATTATTAAATGCGATGCAGATGAGTTACATTTTTTTTAAATAGAAAAAGGTAGAAAGATTGTAAAAAAAGAAAAAGAAGGATTACAAATTTAAAAATAAAGACGCTGTTTTCGCATAGCAAAGTTAACGTTAATGGTTAAAGGGAGGTAACTTGGCAAGTCTTAGTAAGGTAATGAAAAAATAAATAAATCAGGAAATAAGAGAGAAAAAAATATAAAATATAAAAGAATTAAATCATTGGGTTTACTAAATAAATATATATAAGGAAACTAAAAAGTAGAAAAATAAAGATAGTAAATATGAGGAAAATGTTGAAAGGAAATAAATATAAATAAATATATACGGAAAAAGAAACAATGCTAGTGACGTTGTTATAGGTTTGTCATGTTGACGTAAACAGTTTAGACTAGTGAAGTAAGCTGGTATGGCACTTAGATGCTGATAAAATGAAAATATACGGAAAAGGAATTAGAAGCAATCAGGCTTCCAGTATTTTAAGAGATACGGCCTTCTATGCCAACATGCAATCATTAGCTCAGTCCGCTTATTGAGCAGACCTAAGGTGTGAATATTTTTGAGGTTGATTATTTTCATCCTCAAAAATATTCACAAATTAGGCCTGATTATGGAAGGAGCGAGAACAATAGAAGAGTATTCAGGAAGACAGTAGATAACGATTGACATTGCATTTGAATTTTTGGAGCTCAAAGTTGGCCGGAAATCATAGAGCCGGAAGAGAGTTCCACAAACGAGAAGTGCGAGAGAAGAAACTGTTAGCATAGGACTTATGGTTACATCTATCTGAGTCAAGATGTAAATTTATGAGAACTTACTACCACTCCAGTACCGCACTTAAATTCATAAAGTCTAGATACCATAGGGAAGAACAAATACATTGAGTCAATTGCTTCGTCCACAGCAAGGAAAGGTGGCTCCCTGTGCCGCGCCAGGAAAATTTTTCTCCCCGGAATCGATCCTCCAGATCTACAAATCAACAATTCGCCCTTGCATGGAGTATTGCTGCCATATATGGTTTGGAGCCCCTTCTGTTTGCCTCGGGGTTCTTGATAGGCTCCAGAGGCGGATATGCAATATAATTGGCGCTGTTCTGGCATCTCGTCTACAGTCACTTTCTCACAGACGCGCCGTCGCCTCTCTCTGTCTGTTTTACAAATACTTTCATGGTAATTGCTCCGAGGAGCTGCATTCGCTGGTTCCCAGACTTCATGAGTTCAAGCGCCCTACGAGGCTGGCATCCCGCTCTCACCCCTTTCACTGTCGAAACTCCTAAATGTAGCCGTCTCTTCTACTCCAATAGCTTCATGTCTCGCACCTCTCGCCTGTTGGAACTCCCTTCCCTATTCCAGTTTCCCTGAGAGCTATAATCTCCAGCTATTCAAATGTAATGTCAATCGACATCTCCAGTTGCCTTGATCTATCCACTACCCTTCTCCTCATCCTTTCTTCTATCACTCCTATCTGAT